CCTGTCTCCATGGTGCTTTTCATGGAATGATTTGGGTTGGGAAGGACCTCAAAGCTCATCCAGTTCCATGGGCAGGGGCACCTTACACTAGAGCAGCTTGCTCCAAGCCCCTGGCCTTGAACACGTCTCCCGTCCTGCTCTTCTGGTGAGGACACATAAATATGTATTTCATTGGAGTAATAAATATGTATCTTGGGTCAAGGACAGCTTTACCTCCTGAGCCATTTCATGCAGGAAGAGACGCGAAAGGGCATTAGTATAACTCCAGTTAAGCTGAGCCTCTGAGCACCCACTTGAGAAAGCCTTTCCTAGCAAAGCACTTACACATCTTTGAGAAATTGATATGAACAAGTTCCAGTAATTTATTTTCAAGTCAGAAATTAAGCATTTATTTTAAGTGCTCTGCTCTGCAGGGATGAGCTGTGGGAGAGGACTGAATGAGATTCTACCACAGGGAGAGTAAACCCGTGCACGCGCGTCACTAAAGCCTGGTACTGCTAACTCATACATAGAATCGTATCTTTTTCTTGGTGATTTTACGTAACCATTCTTTAGGAGATATAAAAATGACAAATACATTTACAATGATTAGTCTTATGGGAGGTTCTCTTGTTGACATCACTGTTACAAGTTATTTAGTCTTGTATCAGAGCAATAACTTCACTATCAAGTTCCCTCCCTTTGGGAGCTCTATGGCACTCGCCCCCTTTCTCCCTCCCTCCCGTAGGATCTTCCAGGTAAGTGCTTCACTCTCCACTGATGCTTTATACCTTGGAGACAAGTTGTTATTCTCTTGTTCATGCGTGTGTTCATTACAGTTATTTACAATTAAGTGCTCTGCACGCCCGCAGAAGCACATCAGTGTCTCTGCAAAGTGACTGGAACCTCTTCCCATCTAACTTGTGGAAGGGAAAACCTTCTGTGTTGGAGGGAGTGCTTGCTGGACTTCTACCTGCACGTGCCTCCCTTTGGCCTTGGATTCTTTCGCGTTGACTCTTGAACATTTCTCTTGTTTTCCCACTGTTTTCCCAGCTGTAATTACTTTATTTATAATGGATTAAAGCTGCTCTTTCTTTTTTACCTTTTTAAACTTTCATCAGATCTTCAAGCTTGTGTCCATCTGTATCAATCCCTTGCCTTCTGCTGTCCACTCAGGACTTCTGTTAGCATCTGTTTGATCCGTCAGCTGCATGGAGCAGGGCTGCATCATTAATGATGCCAAATGATTTTCTGTAATGTTTTAAGTCATCATTATTACACTCCTGAATGAAAATGTTTTCCTGGATGGCCAGAACCTCTCCTTGCTGCTGTAGAAACTCTTCTCCAGCCTGGAGAACAGAAGGCTCCAGGGAGACCTTAGAGCAGCTCTGGTGCCTAAAGGGGCTACAGAAACTGGAAAGGGGCTTTGGACAAGGATCTGTAGGGACAGGACAAGTGGAATGGCTTTAATGTGCCAGAGGGGAGATTGAGATGAGATCTCAACTAATATACATTGGCTAACAGTGAAGGCAGAATTAAATTGAACCTTGTGACCACTTGTTAACATAATAAATGAGCTTTCCTTTTGCAAAAGGACACGTATGTTGATCAATAAAGTATTCCTGCTCGTTGTTATAATCTCAGAATCTTTGACACAGGGGAACACGCATGCAGCCCCAGCAGCACAAGCAAGCAGCTCTATGCAGCACAACCCACAGCGGTAAGAGCACATCACAAATGTCCTCTCAAAAATGAGTCTTTAAATGATCACATGGAAATCATGAAAAATAAATACGGAATAGTGGAGACCTGAAAATCTCTTCCCACATCTTTGTCCCTTTCCAAAGCAAAGCTTGGCTCCGAGAGCAGCAGGTATTTAGGTGTGGAATTTCACCTGAGAGTTACTCAGTCTTCTGCACTGATGTGAGCAGTAGGGGCTGATGGTTTTGTGCTCAGCATGTAGCTAATCAGTGCACCAGAAACGTGCCTGAATCACAGTTTGTTTTTATAGGACAAACAAGAAAACAACCTGACAAGGGGAAATCTGAGAGAATGGTGACTCCAAGCTGTCTTTGGTTTCCGTTTTCATCCCAGCATTAACCAGGGATTTCCTAGAGGAGGGAATATTGATTTTTAGGTTTATTGCGAAAGAGCAGAAGCTGAAATCCTTCTGAAAGGGAGATCTAAAAAGCCTTCCTTTTCAGAAGTTTTCCAATATTTTCCAAACAAACCTAGGTCTCAGCAGACAGCAAAGCCTGGAATCGTGATTTGTAGCTGGGATCCAGCCAGCATCCCCTTCCCAGCTGCACTGGGAGCACAGTGCCTGGGGCTCCTGCTGGTAAAAGCATTGGCAAGCTTTGTGTTTTTCTGGATAATTTGAGTTATGAATTTATTAGCAGTGACTTATTTAAAAAACAAACAGCCAAAGCAAAGCAAACCAAAGTCCCCCAAAACCCACAGAACACCCCGCAAAAGGTGAGCAGGTCCCACCGAGGAGCAGGAAGGTGGCACTTTATAGACAAGAACCTTCTACGTGACTCAGGCCTTCGCTGGTGTTTTGTTTGCTCTTTCTGCTCAGCTCTTGAGGATTCAGTCTTGTCTGAGCAGTGTGCAAGCAGGGTCGTACCTTCACTTCAAACTCAGGCTTTTTGTTAATAATCCTGCCCACTCTCAAGTAGGAAAAAAGCCCCAAACCCAAATATTTTCACTCCCTTTGCATAATGCAGGAAAAACAAAGCCTCTTACAACAAAGCTTTCCAGGGACCCACTCCATGGTTATGGGAGAAAGGGTGGAGGCGCTGGCACAGGGTGCCCAGAGAAGCTGTGGCTGCCCCATCCCTGGCAGTGTTCAAGGCCAGGTTGGACACAGGGGCTTGGAGCAAGCTGCTCTAGTGGAAGGGGTCCCTGCCCATGGCAGGGGTTGGAGCTGGAGGAGCTGATCATCATTCAGCTGACGCTTTTGTATGGTTTGTGTGGCTCATCTTGGACATTCTTAGTTCTAATTCTTTCAAAGCTGACCTATGAGGTTAGTGGTGCTCTCAGTAGATGTCGGTGCCACACGGTGCTGTAGGAGCAAAGACAAAATGTGACCTATTCACAGCTCTTCATGTCATCAGTCTCACTCAAGGTTATTCTTTAAAGGTCTTGGCTGCACGAAGTGCTTCATTTCTCAGGAAGGAGTTAGCTTTATGTGTCATTGTTATCTTTATGAAGTAACAAATATGTCTGATGGTTTTCGTATGCAGTTTACGGAGAAGTAGTCATGCAAATCAGTTTTATGTTTATTATCTACTTGAAATTTTCATGTTACTGGTTAGGAGTTTAGAAATTCATGGACTGGTGGGATGTAATCATGGAAGAAAATGTTGAAGGCAGGGGTGTGTTTGCTGGCTGTTGGAGACTGTAGTCTGTCTGTCTGCTTCATTGGAGTGATGAGGACATGAGTGATGGGCAAAAGAGAACCAGTTCTGTTTAATCAAACTCAAAATATCCTTATTTGGTTTTGTTAAACATCAAGGCTTGTGTGTAAGTGCTAAGAGTGCACGCTTGTTTTCCCTGGCTGTAACAGCTGGATTTCTGTGCCATGTCCAACGCACCTGGAACAACAGCCAAGGGTGGTGGTAATGATGGATGGGTGTGCGATGGACCTGACCCACCAGGCCAGAACCTGGCTGTCACACTGCTCCTTCAGAGCTCTGAGGTTTCTTTACTGTGGCTGCTTCCCATAAAAGATTATGGTCTCTTAACGTGAGCAATGGGAGAGGGGGTGGAAGAAGCAGCCGAGAGGCAGTCAGGATTTTATATGTACATAAACACCTTAAAGCAACATCTGGAAAACTGCTCAGGAAAAAATAAACAGGTTGTTATTTACAAGTTCTGTGGTTTGGTTTTTACGGCGCTTTTATGATGCACATAAATTATTGTTTAAAACCAGAGATGTAAAAGAAATTCCAGGGAGAAGGCGCTTGTTGTTCAGCCTTTCCTTTGATAATCTTTCCTGAAGAATTTGTTCTGGTTTATTCTCAGCTTACGGTTGCTTTTCGCTGGCAAGGAGAAAAACTGACAATCACTTTTTATGTGTTTTTGTATCTGTAGAACTATTTTTAAGATGTTTATTGCTATTTACAATCTTTGCTATTTAAAAAGATAAGATATATGTACTGAAACAACTCTGTACCCAGTGCAACCGGGGAAAAGTCACGTTGGTATATTATATTTGTGATCGGTTCATAGTTGTGAAGGTAAGTTTGTTCTTTCAATATGCAAAACAAGAGCTAAAAGGCTGTCAGAGCCTAACGGGGTTTATGGGGCATTTGCAGAAGACATGAACCTGCCAGAGAGGAGACTGAGCTGAGCTCTTAGGCAGAAGCTCTTCCCTGGGAGGGTGCTGAGGCGCTGGCACAGGGTGCCCAGAGAAGCTGTGGCTGCCCCATCCCTGGCAGTGCTCAAGGCCAGGTTGGACACAGGGGCTTGGAGCAAGCTGCTCTAGTGGAAGGGGTCCCTGCCCGTGGCAGGGGGTTGGAGCTGGATGGGCTTTAAGGTCCCTTCCAACACAAACCAGGCTGGGATTTTATAAAGATAAGTGGTGCTGGTCCTGTCTTTGTGTTGGGCCCTGGGTGCTGCCATCCCTTCCCTGGCTCCTCCTGACCAAACCTCTCAGCCAGTTCTTCATGTGCTTTCTTTGTGGTTCTGACATTTTAAATACATCTTGCACGACACTAACACTTATAAATAGTTAATCTTTACGCTGAGTAACTGAGTCGGATGAACAGCTTTTTCAGGACGGGCTTGATATCTCTTCATGTCTCAGTTGTGTTTTTTTACACCAGATACACAGAACATAACTCAGAATCTGCTGTGTGGGATAATTCTTACACTGCTGGAAGAAAACGTGATTGAATGTGACTCAAGCTGGAGACCACGCGCCAGGCAGAGTAACACAGAGCGTGCTGCAGAGAAGCGGCGTGGAGCGATCTGCGTATGGAGATGCAAATGTCCGTTTTACAATTCTTTTTTTTCAGTTGCCCCCACAATTCAGGAACTTAAATCCAGCGGTGTGGTGCTTGGAGGGAACGGCCTGATACGGTGCGAAGGTGCAGGAGTTCCTGCCCCGGTCTTTGAGTGGTACAAAGGAGAGAGGAAGTAAGTAGCCGGTGCTCGCCGACCCCCTCGTGCTGCTGGGGATGCTGGGGACCAGAGTGGAAGAGAGAGGAGACCACCAGGCTGGCTCTGTCCCCTGTGATGATGTGACCATCAGGCTGTCCCGAGCTCAGTGCCAAGCTTTAAACAGCAGTTTAAAGCAGCCAGAGCCAACGGAGGTGTTGGCTTCCAGCAGCTGCGCTGTGTGTGGCTTTGGGGGAAAATTCCTGGTTTCCTTGTGGTTGTCGATTCTGTGCTCTTAAAGGTGTTAGCCCTTGGCTGGGCTGTGATGGGGAGTGTTGCAATAACGAACCTAAGTTTTCAATATGCTTCAGCAATTACAGCCTTTTATGTATAATAACCAGAAAGGCACTGAAAAACTCTACTGAAAGGATTTATTTATTTTTTATTTAAAACCCCATCCATCTTCATACGTGTCCTGCTGAGGGTTTGTGGTTGTAAAGGTTGGTTGTTTCATGAACAAGACTTTCAACCAAACCTTCGTGGGGATGAACTTTCTCCCAGTTGATCCATTCTTTGTTTAGGCCATAGGTTTATCATCCACAGAGCTGCTGCCCACCACAGCATCCATGGGGCGCTCTGCCTGAACCCCAGAAGCTGACCATGTGCTTTAGTTTTGTCTACAGTCAGCTTTACCTCCAGGCCATTAGTGCTGTGTAACCATAAGCAGCAGAATTTTAGAACCCACCTCATTAAATAGATATTTTCCTTTTTGGATAGAAAACTGGTTTATGGCTCTTACTTCAGCTAAGAGCTTATTTCTGTTAGGTTTGCACACTGGTGCAAAAGCAAGCGGATAGTGTCTCTTGTAAGTGACTGTCCAGATGTGCCTTCCAGCTTCTGGAATTTCCTGGCTTCCGAGAGTTGGGTTTCTCAACCCAAACATCCCATTAAACCTGGAAGCTGATGGGAGAATATTAGCAACCATTTTTCATAGGAAGCCATCTGTCAGCTCATTTCCCCGTGGCCAGCTGCTCCCCTTCACAGGCTGTAGCTGCTCCTCTTTCTTTGTGACTTTCAGAGCGGTCCTAACTATGGACCATACCCTAAATCATTCTGTAAAATGCTATAACTGGTCTTTACTATCTATAACAGTGAATGCTTTTCTTCTGTTGGTGAAATGCATTGGCATCTATTTCCAACAATGCAAATTATGTTGTGCACATGTTAGAGGAAGTTGCAGCAGAAACATCTTTTATGTACAAAGTATTGTAGGGCAGTGTTTAGCCCTCCTGATTCAATTTGCTGTTTCCAGTGTGATAATCGCCTTTCTATTTATAAGATTGACCAATTCCTCTCACTGTGAGCAGCAGGAAAGCCTAAGCAGAGCACTTCAGGCCAACAAAATTGTGCCTTCTGTTTCAGTGGGGGTATCACCTGAGGCTGGCTATAACCAGCAAGGAATGCATTGTCCTGTTGTGTCTTACTGCTCAAACATTACGCACATCCTATTTCGTTCTGCTGTTGCTGGCAGATGTGCCAGACGTCAGTACAAAGGTACTGGGGATCCCTGAGCCTCCACTGCTTACAGGAAAGAGGAAACCCATTGCTTTTTCCTCCAGTATATCCTCTTCACCTCTGGGTGGTGGAGCCAGCACAGAATGAGCCTTGGACAGCTCAGGTGTTGTTTTAGTGCAGCCCTGAGGGGAGTCAGCTCTCACAGGTAGTTCAGAGTAGCAGGTGTGTTATCTATCAGCAGATACACTCCAAGACTAGATTTATATACTGTTAGTGCACACCCTGCTCTATTTTCTGATAAAAGCATAGAGAGGATCTCATTTTCTTCACTTACTCTTGGATGGGGACCTTCTTTTTTTTCCTTTTTAGATTGGGACCTTTTGGGTTTGTTTTTTAATTGTTGAATAAATGAACAGCAGGCGTTAAAACCGAAACCTAAAGTATATGTTCAGTGTCTGAAACAAGCCCTTTGGGTCTTTAAACTGTATCATTGTTACTTAGATTAATGTATATCCAAACGCACAATTTCCAGACTCCAGGGATCATCTCATCATAAAATAGCCATTAACAGTAAACATAAAAGCAGTCGCAGACTACAGTCAGTTAAAAGAGCTTGTCTGTGAGGCGGAGAGCTGGCAGGACCAATTCTGCCTAACCACTGAGCTCGCAAGAGCTGCTCTTTGTTAATCCTCTGCAAGTGCTGGTGCGCTCGCTGCTTTGAGACCCTCTTGGCCAAGGGCAAGGTGAGGAGCCTAAAGCCCCGCAGGCAGGCAGGCACACCACTTCCGCTCTCCTCCTGTGCCTGGGAAAGGCCAGGAGAGGTCTCATGGACAGGTTTCCAACCATTTAGCACTTTATCTGCCAAAAGCAGTACTTTGAGCTCCATGTGGGAGCTTCTGGGTGGCTGCACGGGCCCAGAGAGGGTTGGGTGAGCTGGGAATGGAGTGGAAATTGGAGGAAAAGCTAGTAAAAGCGTCTTAAACTTATAAATATGTGTGGTTGTAAAGCTGTGCAAGGATTTCCTGCAGAAAGGAGAACGGCTTAGCTGCACTCACTCCCAGTATCTGAGCTCCACAACTGTTCAAGTGTGATGCGTTATAGGGTTAAAGAGAAATCAGATCTCAGACATTAAACAGACACAGGGAAGAACCTTAAAAGGCACCTATCTAAAAATATAAACTCCTTTATCCTTGATAAAGCAAACAAGACTAAGGTTTGTAACAACAAAACTCATTAGAATGGCTTAATATATTATAATAATGTGAAGGTATTCAAATATGAAACCAAAGGCACCCCTCAGGGCTGGCAGTGATGCATGAGCTTCTCTGGATGCATAGTCTCTCAAGTAAAAAGGAGATCACTCTTCCCTTTAGAACTACTGGTACAAAGCAGTAAGGTGAAGAAATCTCTAGGGTGGCTGCACTTAATATAACTTGGTAAACTTAAAATAACTTGGCAAAACCCAGACAAGTCATAAACACTGTGCTCAGTCAATAAGCAAAGCAGAGCAGCACACAGGAGTAATTTGAAAGTAAAAGCATCTGGTTCTTATAACTGCAAATGGGAATCCTCAGAACTGCTGCGTTTATGCTACCTAATGCTGACTCCTCGGTCTGTTAATTGTGTGGCTTATTGATAGCACATCTATCCCATCCCATTTACTCCATTCCAGTTCTGGGCCCCCAGTGTCAGCTTCTTCCCGGGGGGGGGACATGTAGGGAAGCACTGGATGGCAGGAGCACTGGAAGGGGAAGGAGGGGAAGAGAACCCAACAGGCACTCCCAGTTCTCATCCCTTTGGCAGCCTGGGGAAGGCAGCAGATCACATTGAGCAGATGCAGTTCAGTTTTGATACAATTTCATCTCTAACGGGGAATGGGGATGGCAGAAATCCCAACAACCCATTGAGTTAAACCTTTAAAACTGTAAAATAGAGATGCTGTCGTTCAAACTGCAGTTATGGGCTGAAATGATGGAGGTAGCTTAGAAACAGGTGATAAAAATAAGCCATAGATGGAAAAGGAGTATTGCTCCTATACCCTATGATTCCCTGGGAAAGGGAGCGATGGGATTCACACCCCAAAAGGCAGCAGGAAGGGATGGTGGCTGTGGCTCAGCTGGGGAAGGGGCATCCATGCTTGCTTAGCTTAGCTTAGCTTTACCCTACCAAGAGCCACCACACTGATAGAGCTGTCATGGAGTGCTGGCCTGGAGCATCTGAGCAGAGGGGTTTGGGAACAGGGGAAGCTCTTCGATCTTTCTGCAGGAGAGGCAGAAAAAGGAGGGACAGATATTGGCAGTTTTAGAAGGAGAATCATAGAATGCCAGGTTGGAAGGGACCTCAAGCATCACCTGGTCCAACCTCTCTTGGCCCAGCATGACCTAGACTAGATGACCCAGCACCCTATCCAGCTGAATCATAACAGTGTCCAATGCTGGGGAATCCACCACTTCCCTGGGGAGGTTATTCCAGTGTCTGGTTGCTCTCATTGGTAAGAATTTGACCCTTGTGTCCAGTCAGAATCTCCCCAGGAGTAACTTGTGCCCATCACCCCTTGTCTTTACAAGTTGTCCCATGGAGAAAAGGCAGTCTCCATCTTCTTTGTAGCCACCTTCTTAAATACTGGAACATGGTGACAAGGTCTCTCCTGAGCCTCCTTTTCTCCAGGCTGAACAAGCCCAGTCCTCTCAGCCTTTCCTCACACGGCTGCCCAGTCATTGGTTCATCAAACATCCATATGCATAGGGTGGAAAGACAAACCTTTGGACAAAAGATGAATGTTCTAATTGCAGCATTCACCCCAAACCAGGCATTTCAGCCCTATTTTTTCATGCAAAACCAAGTGTGTCCATGGCACATGCTATGTCCTCTGCCCAACCATGGGCTGTGCAGAACAGACCTGAGTCTTTTAAAGCAGCACAAGCTGCCCAGGCAAGAGAAACCCCCTGCATGTGGAGCAGCATGTAGTGACCAAGTGGAACAGAGGCACTCATGTAACGATAGCAAGTGTCAGTCCACACTGTGCAGAAGTGCAACTAATGATACACTTGAACTGGTTTTAGACAGAATGCCAGAAGATTGCATTCATTCACAGGATGTATGATTATATCATCCAGTATAGCAAACAAAAACTGTATACTTGATCTGGAACTCTGCTCCTTATGGGAGATATGAGGTTATGAGTAATCAATCAGCTGGAGCTTGTATTTTAATAATGTGGTTACTCTTCTGATCTCCATTTTTGATCAAACGTGGTTTATCTAAAACAAAGTTTAAGCTGTCCATCTTTCTTTACCCCAGTGCAGCAGTGCTGCTTCTGACTTGGCTTTGAAACTGCACAGTCCCTATGAAATTTGAGGTGAAAAGAGCCCTGGTTTAGCTTTTCCCACGCTCCATTCCCTGCTTCCTATTCAGGTTGCTGTCTCAGGACGCTGAGCACATCTTTCCTAACTGCACGTCTAATTTGTAGCTGTAGAGGCCTGTAAAACAAAATGTGGTCACAATCCTACATAGTCTAATCTCTAGTTACCTAACCCTCATCTGCCATCAGTTGGAGGTGTGTGAGGAGCACCAGCAGTCTCCAGAGCCTGGTAAAACACTCTCTGAAACACTGACCATTACTATTTTCTGCCCCAAAATAGGCTATTTAAATATTCAGTTGGGTTTGCCCAGTTTAAAACCTAAGCTCTTCATCCGAGAGCTATGTCCTGTCCAGTGGCCAGGCAGGGCTATGAGTGTCAGCCATCATTTCGACTGTAGGACACACAGACAGAACCTTTTCCTCTCAACACCCCACAGCTTCAGCGTTGCCCGTGACTTCTCCTATTTGCTGCTGTGGTAATTTTGCTTGACAGACTATGCTGGCAGCTTGCAAACAGTTTACTGTGCTACCAGATATATCTAGAAAAACAAGAGAAAAACAGATTAAAAAAGAGAAAGAATAAAAGAAAATCATTGCTGTGGTATATGAGTTATAGACATTTTCTTTTTGCTTTCTAGACTGATCAATGGTCAACAAGGAATCACTATTAAAAATTATAGCACAAGATCACTTCTTACTGTTACCAATGTGACAGAAGAGCATTTTGGCAACTATACATGTGTCGCTGCCAACAAGCTAGGGACGACCAATGCCAGCCTGCCTCTCAACCGTAAGTAACGTGGACATGTGGCAAATGTTCATGGTTGTTTGTTTCCACATACAAGGATTCAAAAGCCAAAAATAGGAGTGTGTGTTTTTCCTCCCTGTTTCTTCACAAGGTGTATAAATACCATTGAGTTCCTCAGCGCTGGGAAACGACGCAGAGGGTTCTTTATTCCCTGCTGCAGGAGGGTTTCCGTTCTGGAAGTGATGGCACATTTTGGTGGTATCAATGAGTTATGAATCTATCAAACCCACAACTAAACCCAACCCGCCGTCGTGGTGTAGAGGCAGAATTAGCATGACAAAAGTCTGCTCAGAATAGCAGCATTGGAGCACAGGGACCACTGTAAATAAAGCTATGAACTTTTTCTGCAAGCTTCAAGGACTGTACTGGGCTGGAGAACTGGGGGGTGCCAGAGCCCTGCTCATGGGTCAGGTCGTTGGTTGTTGGTCTAAGGTACAGACCAGTTGCAGAGAACTCGGAGTGAAATCTTTTGGTTACGGTTGTAATAGGCAAAGCAAAGCATTAAGGTTTTTAGCATGAAGGTTGTTAAAACAGGTCTCAAATGTCCTGCCTAAAAGATATTTATATCTGTGAATTTGTAGTATTTCACAGTTGCCATCTGTCAGTGGCAGCCGAAGATGTTCATAGCTGAACTTTGGTGCTGATCTGTTCTAATAGTGATAAAACTGAAAGACAAAACTCAGAATATATCCTACATGCTTTTATCTGCATAAAGATATTTCGTCCTGGGTGGAAATGTAGATTTGCAGTTGCTTACGTCCTGGGGTTATTGCCTTCTAGCCATGCAACTTTCTTCTGAATACGCTTCTTAAATGATCTGTATTGTCAGGATATGCTGAATTACTGCAGAGGAGACACAATAAGCAGAAAATAGCATGAAGCCTTTGCTGCCATTTTATTCACTATTTGAGAAATCATCAGCAAAGTGGAAACATTACACTTGTTGTAAACAGGAAATGCAAGAACTGAAAACAGAGGAATATTATGCCAGAAGCAGAGAGTTATTTGGTGTATTTGCAATTCAGAGGAGGTAAAATGAAGGTTTCGTTTAATTTCAAACAGAGCAGAGCTGAATCTGTCTCCTAGCTGCTGCCACGATTTTATCAGTTTTATGTTGTTGAGGTACTATGTAGCCACCCTTAAGAAGTACTTCGAGATGCAGAGGTTGGAAACATCATAAAAGCACCAAGTACTTTGTTATAAATCATAAAAATAGATGTCTTCATCATGAAAGGGATGGTATGTGTGAAGCAGAAGACTGATAGAAAATACTGAACTCTGGGTCTGATCCTGACCTCATGGAATGAAATATGGGGGTAACATTAGCTCCGGGGTTTGATTGAAAGACCAAGATGAAATGTCTTATACTGTGATTTTTTTGATGTAGTTAAAACAAGGAGAGGGTTCCAAAAGGCGGTGAGCTACATTTCAGTTGGGAATGAAGATCGTATGGCAGTTTTTTCCTTACTCATAGTCTGCATTAATGTTACCTAGAAAAAATGTTACCTAGAAAAAATGTTACTGAAAACATAAAAAATCCCGGGGTAGCAACATATTAAATGTGGACTCCTTAATCCTACAGGGAGAATTTTCTCTAGCACGATGCTACTTACATTTTATTCTGTTGGCAATAATAGCTGAACATATGTGCTGGTTCAGGTGTTGGGGGGGGGAAGCGATAGCAGTTAATGGTTGCCTGTAAAATTTCACAGTCAAATGTAAGGTTAAGTATAATTTGATCATCGTGCTACTTGACAAATGTTAAAAGCTAGGTGTTGACGTCTTATTTCAGAGTGTGTTTTAAACTGTTGATTGCATTGGTACAATACAGTCCAAGAGCTTTTCGGCCAAAATTATTACAAGGGCCTGCAGGGCCAGGCCAAGGGGAATGGCTTTAACCTGCCTGAGGGGAGACTGAGATGAGCTCTTAGGCAGAAGCTCTTCCCTGGGAGGGTGCTGAGGCGCTGGCACAGGGTGCCCAGAGAAGCTGTGGCTGCCCCATCCCTGGCAGCGCTCAAGGCCAGGTTGGACACAGGGGCTTGGAGCAAGCTGCTCTAGTGGAAGGTGTCCCTGCCTGTGGCAGGGGTTGGGACTGGATGAGCTTTAAGGTCCAACACAACTAGGTCCAACACAAACTAGGCTGTGGTTCTATGTTTCCCCATAGATACATGTGTGTTTGTTCTTAGGTAAAGGGATTATTATTTCCTAAAGAGCACCGCTTTTACATTCTCTAGTATTTTGAAGAATGTTATAAATTGCTTGTCTGGTAACTGTTGCCTTTCTTAAGAAAAACTGTTAATACAGAGGAAGCATTCATACCCATTGCCTATAGCTGCCAAAGAAATAACTTTCATTAAATGCTGGTTATACGATCCATAGGAGTTACTGATGTTCAGGTTGAAACTTAGATATACGGTCAGTAATTACGCAAACCCATAAAAAATTGTGAAGAGCTGCAGAAAAGGTCAGTAGCGACATTTGGAAGGAGAAGGAGCAGAGCAAGGTGTGTGTGAGATGTGCTAGCATTTTCTGTACTAATTTAATTGCTGCAGCTAAACAGAACTACTTTATTGAATAAGCATCCAACTGTGAACTTACGGTTAGTGCAACATGCTTATAATCTTGTCTCAAACATTTCTACATGCCAGGAAGCGCCAGACCGTGCCCTCAATTTATACGTGTTGATTGCATTGTGTCCTGGTTCCTACATCAAGATTCCTAATTAAACTGGTGTCTTATTATTTTTTAATACACTGGGTTTCATGTCTGAACTGCAGAAAAAAAACCAACAATAGGCTCTCAAAACTTACATTAACTCACTGTAAATTGCACATAACGTGTAATAATACACACATTTCTCAGTGGCACTATGTGTAACTGTAGTGGTGTTGGCTATGTCTATTGGAACATCAAAGACCCAGAGGTACTGGAGGTATCTGCAGAGTGGTTTCTTGTTCTTGCTATGATACATCTTCTAAATATGGGTACAGGCAACCACTTTTCAAGGTAATTCCCCAGCACTGCCTCCTGCTGTGCCAAGGTATGAAAAGCAAAGGAAAACCAGGCTTTAGAGGTCTTCCAAGATCACCTCTGCCATCTGAACAAGGGCACACTCACGATGCTGGTCATCACTCCTGGCAGTTGTTGGACCCACCCCCCTTGATCCATGGTGACCCTCCACCATTACAGTCATTTTATAGTCATACTTCTTTCCTGTGTCAGTAACTTTTCCTGTGTATTGAAACCAAACATTTTCTTACTTCAGCTGAAGCCAGTTTCCATCCGTCATAGTCTCCATGGGAAGAAGAAAGAGCAGGGTTTCTCAGGAGTAAGGAGAAATCAGATCTGGGCAGAGGGAGGGAAGGGCAGTGCCATGGTGAAGTGATTGTATCCAAGTTCATAAAAGCTTCTCCTGAAACAGCAAGGGAAATGATCCAAATGAGTTACTTCACATAGCAATACACACGTGCTTGCACTGCCATTGTCAACAGCAGTGGTGATCAGGTGGCCAAGCTGCTGGGACAGGGACCCTTCCACCACCATTTTACCATGGGGATTTCATGGTGTCTGACACCTGAGCAGCACTCATACTGCTGAAGTGAGTCTAGCTGAACAGTTTCTGTACGCACTTCTTCCTTCAGCTTTAGCAAGCTTTACTTTCTTTGCCTTTCCCCCCCCCCCCCCTTTATTGCATTTTTCTTTTTCTCAAACATACATAGGAGCCTGGATGTGAACTTCTTAATCTCAACCTCTCTGCACCCATGGTTAGAGGGAAGGTACCATTCAGTGCAGGCACCTGGTGGGAGCTGGGTTAGCAGTGCTGCAGGTCTGGCTGCTGGCACTCACTTGGATGCGCTCCCCTGTGCATGAGCATGGCCCCAGCTGCAGCCCAAAACCTCCTTCAGGAGGTGCATTTGTTATCCTGCCTGGAATGAAATCCGCCTGAAGCAGACAAGGTTTGGGCTGCATCTCCCTGGCACTGAGTCTCACTGGAGTTTCCTGTGTTTCCCATGGTCACGGCTGGTGCTGTTTCTGGAGTCCTTATCTTCAGTAACTCATATGGCTTTGAGTGTGAAAACTGCTTGGGTTGTCTGCAGTTCACAGAGCTCAGTATCTCTGCTAAGCTCAGCACTGTCATTTTATTGACTAAGAAGTGGTATTTTAATGTATTTGGATACGTGACAGGTTTCTGCTAAGTTTTAGTTCAATAGCTTTGCCTGGCCTACCAAGTTTGACATTTCTAGGAAGATAGGGACTCTCCAGGGAAATTCTCTTTGAGTCCACAGTTTCAGCTGTTGTCCAATTACCTAAGAAAGATTTTATTATTTGATCTCTCAAATACTGGCCTGCAAAGCAAATCCAACTCCAATTTGCATGGTTCTGTGCTATGACTCAGCCAGACAGGCTGCTCTACACCAAACAAAATACCAACAAATGTATATAACTATACATATAAAAACCAACACAAAACCTCTTGTGCTGATTAGGATCCTGTTCAAAGGCTGCTGCAGTCGGTCAGAGAACATTTACTGATTTAACGAGGTTGGCATCAAGCCCAATGTCTCCTGTAGACATCACAGTGCAGAGAATTGGTACCATGGATCTGATTTTTCATTGGAGGCCACCCTTCCAGTCTTGCCCCTGGAGGGACAGTCATTGTCCTGAGCTGTTCTTTTCCTCCATGCCTCAGGATGGACAGGGAACAGATCTGTAATCCATCCAAAGTTCAGAACTCAGCACCTTCAATTCTTTTATTCATACAAAATAAGACAAATGGCCAAATCCTCCATTTTATGTAAGTTGTAATAATTCTTTTAGATGTTGGGTTTCAGATCTTTCCCTATGGATGCCAACTGCTGCTCCAGGTCGCAATTACTGAGAGTTAAGGGTAAATTTTCTCTTAAATCCATTTTCCAGCTAGAGGTTTATTATGAGTTATATGGCAATAAGAGACTGTGATTGGACAAGGTAGAAATACCCCA